AATTAATTAATTAATTAATTAATTAATGTTATTTGGGAAATATCCCAGCAAAGCAGTTTTCAGCTATGCTGTCTGAATATTAGGGGAACTGAAGTTCAGCATATTTGGGGAGACCAGTTTGGAGAATGTTACTTTACTCAGAGCTTTCTTACTTCTTACATACTTAGGGATACTCAATATGATGGTAGAAGCTTTGGATCCCTATTCCAGTGAGTAAACTAGAAATATGAATTGGGCTCACTTTTAATGCAATTAATATTTGCAGTAGCCCAGTATTCTATACTAGTAATGAAGCCATCCTCTGAGAGATATTTCCTAATGTAAACTTGGGCTTCCTAAACATTTTACTGTATTTGCAATTATAAGTGCATTTGCACAAGTGTACATATTCTAAGCCTTAAAAGAAACTTAAGAGAAAAACTTGTAAGGAAGAAATTATTTGGGAAAACTAATTGGATTCAAGGACTTAGAAATTGGGTATAGTATTTTGCCTTTGCCAGCCAAGATTCAGGATTCTATTTGTTAAAATTAAGAACTTTTCCTTTTAAGCAGCGGTTTCTCATAAAACATAACCAAACTATAAATTTAATGAAAAGCAAGAGAAATAACATTGAAATAGCAAAATATTAAATATTTAACAAGTGGTAATTTTTCACCACTTGGTTAGAACAAAATATCAAGAAAGGCTTCAGAGGTTTTGCATTCTTCTTGTATCATTTAAAAGAGTCCAAAATGGCACTGCTTGCATGACTTCTAAATCTATCCTGACACAGGGCTCCCTTTTGTACCCATACTGATGTGCTTTCTTCCCATCCTTGAGACAGGAGGAAAGACTGTTACTTAAAAACTGTTTATACCTTTAACCGCACCTGCAATTGATTCTTTATATAGAGAGAGCTTTTCCTTTTCCCCTGCATCTTCTTGGCTTCATGTCTGAATTCAGGGACTTATTCCCAAGTAGAAATAGATACTGTTCTGACACTGTGCTCCAGCTAAGCGATACTGTGTGCTCCAGTAGCTAATTCAGAGAGAGAAAAAGAATACAGGAATCAAAAGGGGTCTAGTAGCAGAAGAAGTAAAGTACTGAAATCCAGTCCAAGAAAGGGGGCCATGGTCAGGGGGAGACAGGGCAGGCAAGAATAAGTCTGCTGAGCAAAACTTATTGTAGAGCCAGGGAGTGGTGGTGGTGTGACAGAATGAAAGAAAGAATCATAGATATGGGTATTCCTCAAGTTACGACAGCAATTGGGACTGGAATTTCTGTTGCTAAGCAATGCGGTTGTAAAGTGCGATGTCATGACTGCATTGCTTAATGACAGCAATCCTAGCACTCCCCGTTGCCATCGTTAACCAAATCCCACTGGCTATTTAGGCAAGGACCCACCCTGATCCAAGCCACACCTGGCTTGGTCCTCCCAGCCCCAAACCTCGGTAAGGTATGAGACTGTCTCCTCTTGAACTCCCCCCACCTGCTTACCTCCCCCCCATCTCTGCCCTTTTGGCCGCCTTGCACTCTGCCAGCCTTGCTGACCTGCACTCTGCTGGCCTGCCACCCTGTCAGGCCTGCCGGCCTTGCCGCCCTGCGCTTGCTGGCCCTGCCGCCCTCAGCTAACCTTTACCATCTTACTCCTGCTGCTGCTGAGGCATGCCTAGCGTGGCCCTTTGTGAGGCAGCTGATGGCCATGCCAGGCCTTCTTCTTGAGGCCATTCATGCCATTCTCCAAATAGGGTGTGCTGTTCTCCAAACAGCATGCGCCATTCTCATGATGCTTCAGAAGACTTCTGAGGTCTTCTAAAATCTCGTGAGAAGGTTGTGCCTGCTTTCCAAAGCATCTTGAGAACAGTGTGCATGATTTGGAGAATGGCAGGTGCAGGCTTCTTGCGAGGTTTTAGAAGTCCTCAGAAGTCTTCCAAAGCATTGTGAGAATGGCACACGCTATCTGGAGAACGGCAGGTGCTATTTGAGAATGGCGGGCACTATTTGGAGAACAGCACAAGCGGCTTCGGGAAGAAGGCCTGGCATGGACAGCAGCTGCCTCGCATAAGGCCAGGCTGGGTGCACCTTGTGAGCAGTGGGAGGAAGATGATGATGATCAGATGGGTGCAGCAGGGGCTGCAGAGCACAGGGCGGTGAGGGTGGCTAGGGCTTTGCACCATGGGGCTAGAGTAGCTGGCCGCAGCGCAGGGTTTGAGGCAGCACTCGGTGGTGGCAGCAGCAGCAGTGCTGGGGCTGAAGTAGAGGCCCAGGGGTGCAGCCGGCTGAGACTGCTGAAGGCCCCGGGTCTCTACTTCAGCCCCAGTGCTGCTGCCACCGAGGAGTGCTGCTGTGCAGGGCAGCCAGAAGGGGAGAGATGGGGAGAGAGATAGGCAGGTTGGAGGAAGTGAAGCACCCCTGCAGTTTAAGTGAGGGTTGGCAGCAAAGCTCCCAAATTTTGATCATGTGACCACAGGGTCACATGCTGCAATGGCCATAACTTTGGGGACTGGGCATTTGTTGTTGTTCAGTCGTTAAGTCGTGTCCGACTCTTCGTGACCCCATGAACCATATCACGCCAGGCCTTCCT